CATAAATGTACCGGTGACATTTCTGTGTTCTTTACTTGACGATCATCCAAAGCAAAACTCATAGTTAAATCAATCCATATGACGCCTTATTCAAATAATTTATAACGAGATAAAAAAGTCAAAATCTTCATCTCACTATAAGTTATTTGTCCATTCATCATTATTGAACCAACAATTTGAGAAGAAAAGTGATGATTGATCAACTCGTTGTACTTGGCTAACAACAAATTCGTTCTTGATTCTTGTTAATGTCATTGTCATCGCATAATTCGAACCATATAATTAGATATAATTCTATTTCATTTTAATCGTTTGCCAGGTGAATTGCCATACCAGTACAAAATACATTATTTTTCTAACATTATTCATTGAACGTTTTTTGACTAGTGTTGCGTGACGATAAAAAGAGTTTAGGAAATCGATCGAAATTGCACTCTATTTCTTCTCGATATCGCATAACAAGACCAAATGTAAATAAAAGAGCAATACGTGTAATAATGCAATTTTTACAGTTAGTGGATTCTGCCATGTTTCCTAGTGTACTTCAAAACAATTTAATGGAAATCAGCATGATGGTTGGTCTTTGCTCTTTTTTATACGATGAAGATGAGGTTTTTTTTCTTGGACTCTTCTTGCTCAGAGGAAACCAATAAACGCGGCTTATCGTGTTAGTGCGAAGGAAGAGAAAATACTGGATTTTTCTCGAAAGTCGAATCAGAAGAAGGTACTCATATGAATTCTTTTTCTTTCAAATAGATGAAGTAAAGAATCTCCCTACAAATGTAGTTTTCTTAAGAACTTAGCTCAGCATTCATCTAAATCAACTCTAACATCGCCAAGAACGTACTTAAATTAAGACAGACAATCAATAATCTCCACTAAAACTCGGAAAAATATTCGATAATCAAACGGACAACCATATGTGGTAAAGAAGAGAATAAAATTCATTGCGACAGAAAAAGTTTTGTGTAATTAGCATAATGTGCTTCGATCTCTTCGCGTTTAAAACTCCATTCTTCTAGAGACTACGAATGTCAACCTTATTTTTCTTGAGGATTATCTAGCAGCTACTTGTGCATTGCCGTTTGGAATTCTGTCGACCAATTCAGACCAAACTAGTCGTAGATTCTATGATAAACTTCAATAGAACTGTTCATTAGATCATCATGAGTCCCATGGAAAAGACGCTTTTGTGTTGAATCAATTTTTTGATTTTGAGCAGGGTTGCCAGGTCTTCCGGATTTTAGATGCTTTCCATCTCAAGTATATTTTATTTATTGGTTAACATTCTAAACAAATTATTACTGATTCAATAGAGGTTTAGTGTTACCTTCTATTGATATACCTACAAGACTATACACAAATTTATTTCTTTTTTATTCTCAATCTCTTGCAGTAATGTATATGTCGAAAGTGTCTTTTCGACAAGGAAACATTTATATGATGATAAACGAAATCGTACGTGAACAGAACTCATTACAGTTGAATTAAAAATTCCTTTCAATTCATTAGTATCGTAGACAAAAGTTTATGATTTTCTCTTATCAAAACCAGAATTATTGAAATTTATTCATTCGAACAAAAAATATTGCACTAAGAAACAACGTGTAAATTACGAGCGAAATGTGTACTTGATAAGTTTTTAGAATTGAGTAAACTATGTTTTGAGGTGTGGTTTTTTTATTCAAATATATTTTGTGAATATAAAGAATATCGTTATTCATAATCTGTTCAAGTAAAACGTACTTTAAACGGCTAAAATTGATCCTCAAAAATATTTCCGGATTTTCGAGTTTGACATCTGGCACTCCTGACCCTAATTCATACTAATCAACTAGAGGTCCTTTCGAAAAAAACTCATTAGAAAAAAACCTAACCTTTTTCTTTTGGCAAAATAAATTATGCCAACTTAAAGCCTACTGTAAAGACTATCAGATTATGTTTAAATCTTGAAATTTAGTTTTTTTCGAAAAAATGGACTTTTCTGGATGGGAAGGGGACTTAATCGAGGAGATAGATACGAAGAGATACCATAAGCAAAAAACAGCTGTTTGAATTGATAGAGAAAGATAAAGCAGAGCAGCAAAGCATAAGATCATTCTGTTGCTAAAGTTCTGCAGTGAAACGAGGCATACACACTGTTATATTGAACGTGACTGGAATTATGCAATTTGATGAGTGATCTGGACATTATCGGCTCACTTTGTCCATGTCTAGTAGAACAACTTCCGAAAAGAAATTTTAGCTTGTCTTGCACACCGACAGAAAAAAATGCCTATCTTTATCTATAATTTTCGCTTATCCTGTGTCCTTCCTCTAAAGTTTCAATTACCGTCAGCCGTGTCTTGAATTTTCGGTTCAGGTACCTAAAAAAATGACTCTCTGGCTATAAAAATTATTCTGGAGTCCCTCCCCCTCTTATGTTCGAATCCTAATTTTCCTTCAGACCGTCACAAGCGTACCATTAAAAAATGTTGTGAGGGTGCAGAGAAAACAAACAACCTCACCCACCCTTCACATCATACTTTGTTTGTCTATGGTGTACTTTCGCTCATGATCAAGAGTACGACAAGACTAAAAGCGAATGAAACATATATGAATGTGTTTGATGAACATGGTGAGACTTTTTATACATAAATGTTCAATAAAAACAGGGTTGCCAGATCTTTCGAATGCTTCCAAAAAAGTTCCGAATAGTTATTTTTTTTCCCGACTGCTTTTCGAGTTTCCGAATTCTTCCGAATTTTTTTCGAATAGTGATATTTTGTAAGTTTTCACTTTACTCAGGAGTTTACTATACCTTCTATTATCTATTACTGCGCTATTTTGCTTTTTTTATACAAGTGTTTTTAACTGAATATGTAATTATATATATAGGGTGTCTCATAAGTCACTTTACGATAAAAGAAAATTCGTTATCTCCATTTTGACTTGATCGATCACGCTGATTTTTTTCTTAGCGATAGAGGAGAATTCTAAATTTTTTTCCACATGAGAATCATTAGCAGATAATGCTTTGGCGTAATATTTTTGATTTCAACAAAGAAATATTGCCTTTTCGAAGTTCTGAAAAAGAAACAGTGTGAAGTGAAAATCTCCATTTGATTAACAGTCTTTGAGCTCATACTTTGCCCAATGGCGGTAGATGATGAGACTAGAAAAACCTTTAAAGGATTCGTTCTTTTCTTGAGTTTTGACTGAGATACTGAATTTTTAATGAATTTTTTCCTGTTGAAACCTACATTGTTAATCAGTTCGTGGTTTTGAATTTCGACCTGAGACTTTTCTCTTGTGAAGATCTCAACTAGGCTAGCTTCTGTAACAAATCTCAGCATTTATCAACGAAGAAACTTTGAGGTAGTAATTTTTTTCAAAATAGTGGCATTCATCGTCCATATCGTGTAAAAACATAAGATTTTGAACAATTCGTATCTCAAAGAATTTCCACTGAAAAATGCTGAGAATTGTTACACGAGCTAGTCTAGCTGAGATCTTCACAGGATCAAAGCCTCAGGTCGAAATTCGAGACTACGGTCATATTGAAAAATGGGTTGCTAACGGATCTCCTGATCTCCTACTAATGGACAAAAAATGAGCTCAAAATCATCTCGAATTCTTGCACGAAAGCATTTTTTAGCGGTCTAAAACGGCAACGTTTCTGCTTGCCAGCCAATAATGGTACTCCAAAGCGTTGTCTGCTAATAGTTCTCATTTGATAAAAAAAAACTTTGAAGTCTCCTTTATCACTGAGAAAAAAATTAGTCCGATCGATTAATGCTTAGCGAAGATAACGAATTTTTTTATCGTATAGTTACTTATGGGACACTGTATAATTGCTTTTCTTGCTTTTTTCAATTATCTACATGTTTTCTTCAGAAAAATAATCTCAAATAACGAATTAACTATTGTATTTCCCTTTACTATCGATGAACTGTCCATGAATAAACGATAGTCAGTAAAGAAGATATGTTTAATTC